ATTTGCAGGCAGGCTTCAGTTTTAGTTTTTCAAAGTAATGGCAGGGTCTCTTTAACCATCGATATCCTTGACTTAGAGGAAAACTGTTTTGAAAATGCCATTGCTGACCACTCAATCTAAAATACAATTTTTCCAGAGCAAATATACAGATAAGGGTTCAGACTTCACTCTGACTATCCCAATCTGCATGTTTAATCTGAGTCAGTTCCTTAAAAAGGGAAAGTCAGAGGCAGTTTCCATATTTTTCTCAGTACAAGTTTCATTTTACCATAACCCATTAAGGCCAACTGAATTTTTGCAAACCCACATTTACCTTGTCAAATACTGCAAGTATCAGTGTTGAAAGTTCTCTCTTATTTTGAGAATCATTGATTCGTCCCTTAGGACAAGCAGAGTGATGTACAGATTCCCTCTGATGATGGGAAGTATACTATACACTGACAGGTTTTAACTGGCTGAAACTAGAGGGAACACACAGTGCACTGCCTGCTTACTGGAGGGGTAGACATACATGTTGACTCATGCCCTGCAGAATACAGGACGCATCTGAGAGATTCAACCACTTGCCCTCCAGCTTAAGGTGAATTTTTACAGACTCTGAGAAATGGTAAAGGTGCAGTTAGTAAAGGAGGCCATGGCGCAACCCATGCGTTAGGGCCAGGAGGAAGATACCAATAGTTACCAATCATATAGCGACAGTCAATTTTCTACTGTAGGTGAGACAGTGAAAGCAAGAATGTAAAAATGACATTTTGTGACATCATGCTCCTGGGTTAGTAAATCAATCATGGTGGTAAATGCCTAAAACAAAGATTGCAAAACTTTGCTAGCACTCACAGCAGATACAATGGCAATGGTATCTGTGCTGAACATTAAATGCAATGCTATCAAGAGTTCTGCTAAAAGCGTATGTGCATATTATAGGTTTACATTTTTGGAGGGGGAGGACCTGAGGGTGGCCATGCAAGACCTAGTGCAAAAGATTCAAGTCTCACTTTTAACAATGAGGCCAAGTAACTTCTGAGAACTAAACAATCTGCTTAACAGAGAGCTGATCATGCCATTTTTTTATAGAGAACAGGAAATGATCCCACTTAATATAATAGCTGTTGGTCAATCTTTCGCTGCTCATCGTTCTTGGTGAGAGATCTGCTAATCTGTGGCAACTCTAAACCTGTATCATTTAAAGTGAACTTCTCAGCATTTAAATATTGAAACAGCTGCTGTTAACTGTTTTTAATGGTGCATGTTGTCATCCTCACTTAACTACCTCGTGTGCTGGAACTGAGCTGACTGGAACAAGCAGACAGAAAAAAAAGCCTTTGCTTTAAAAGTTTCACTATCTGCATCCTTGTTCCAAGTCATTGACTGATTATATAGCAAAGACAAGATAAGGATGACAACATCAGAGTCTGCACCTTTAAAGAGACCCTGTCAACACAGTACACATTGTAGGCTAAACACATACAGTGAAATCATTTAGCATTTACTGGAACCCCTCTATTTTGTATGAATTGGTTCTGTTGTTTTTCAGTAATCCTATTTTCAATTCTGAGTCACTTCTGACACATCGGGTAATGTTGGACGCTCTCTCCCGCACCCCAGTCTGCAGCTTGAGCACCTCCTCCAGCCTGACATCACCAGGGCTCCAGCAGCTGAATGGAAGCCTTCTGTGAAATTGTGTATAGGAGCGTGATGAAGCTTTCATCTACCTTGCTCAGCACCAGTGACAGAAGCAGCCCAGAATTAATAACAGTTCAGGGCTACAGTCAGTGCTAGATATCTTTTTTTCACTGCATGTGCTCAGCCTACATTGTGTACTGCGGTGACAGGGTCTCTTTTAAAAATAGGTTAGAATCTGCAGCTCCTATATCTCTATTTCATCGGTTTTCTTTAAGATTATCAATAACTTAACATACATATTTCTAAAAATACACACAACATTGCAATTAAATGTTAACTTTGTAACTATTCAGATTTTTTTACAGAACACTGCATATGACATTTAAATCACTATTTGCATTTGTGCCTCGTTCAAGTTACAACATACATTTCACACATGACTAGTTTTCTGTTTCATGCACATTAAACATTTATATTGGTCTAAGTAGCTGTAAATATTCTTAAAAGCTACCATGGTGGCACATATGTGTATCAGGATTGGTTTTTAACAAGAATTTTACTATCGATTCAATGATGTGAAAGCTTTAATGCGTTACTACCAGAGCTTGAGAATCTAAGCCTTGAGATGAAAGACTTCACACTGGCTAGAATGAAGGTTATTGACCTTTGGATGAGTAGCTGGAAGTGAAGATGTCTTATCCTGATTGCATTATCACTACAGCAGGTTGTGTGACTTCTCAAGGATTTCTGTAAGGTTTACTCAAGGACAGACCCATGATTATATTCTGATTATTGCTGGTTATGGAAAAAAAAACTTACTTTTTTTTTTAAAAGCTGCCAAGCATTCTTAGTGTTTCTTTACAAACAATTTAATCTGAAATATTCTCCTTCAGAGTACTATTTTTCACAAGGACAGACACAAGGACAGACACAAGGACAGACACAAGGACTGACACATGATTATATTCTGATTATTGTTGGTTATGGAAAAAGAAACTTATTTTTTTTTAAAAAGCTACCAAGCATTCTTAGTGTTTCTATATAAACAATTTAATCTGAAATATTCTCCTTCAGAGTACTATTTTTTACAAAGATATCACAAAGGAAGTTATCCAGATTTCAGGATAATTCCTGTGCCCAGCTCTATAGATTGTGGTTTTCTTTATTGGTCCCATGCAACACCCAGTTAGAACAAGACCAATGCAAGTATTTGTTATAGGGTGCATGAAAAGTATTACCCCACTACACAGCCGACCTTTAGTGATCACCCACGACTGACTGTGATTCTAGTCTTGTCATAGTGAAGCTAGAGTACATAAATGGGTGAACGGCTTACACATTTATATATATCTATATAGTTATATACAGTATATATTAATTATACAAACACACACATATACAACTGAATCTTACAATTTAGCACACCCAAGTAACACATTTGTATCCAGATTCTTAAAGAAAACCTTTCACACACCTTATTAAAGTGTATCTCTCGGCAAACATTTTTTTTGTTTTTGTTGTAGATTAAATGAAAGGGTTAGACTGCTTGTCAACTTCTTACTGCTGTCTGTTTCCCTTTTTGGAGAAATTCACATATTATTTACACTGGTGACCATTTTTACTGAGAAAAAAAAGTACGGGCAAATCCAAAGTTTTACAGTCTTCCCCAGAGCAGTAAATCATTCAATCTGTACACTTGTTTTGGTGACAACTGTCTAAAGATGGGAATTTCCCTCACTTTGGGAGACTTTCTCTAACTTCTTGCTGCACCTTTGGGACAGGAGGTGAAGGGAAATTTCCCTAATGGTACACAGACAGAAAAAATTAATTGTCATGGGTTTGAACCCTTCCCCACTCTGTCCCAAATTAAAAAAACAAAATTGGGGCAAACACACTTTGATTTAAATAGCGCTTGAAAAACTGCATAAGCAAGGGTCATTTTACTGAAACTGCCTATTAAAGTAATTTGAAGATCCAAATATATAGGTGTATAAGATTTTCACTCACCTAGCCCACAACTTCCAAGCTTACCTATTCCTAATTCTCACATATATTAAAGGACCAGTACAGAGGCTGGGAAGGACACAGGGGGTGGTTTTTTTTTATAGGTAAAGGCAGATTTTCATATGATACCAGCAACCTATATCTTTGATCTAATTATAATTCTGACACACACACTTTTCAATGAAGTTCAACTCTGCTTATGTTTTTTTTATAATCATACAATCAGTTTGAATTGCCCACATTTGTGACAGATTCACTTTAAATGGGAAGGGAAGTCACTATGATAAGGAAAGAGAAGTCACTACTATCCTAATCGACTTTCAAAGTTTTGACATTAAAATAATGCATACCCCAGAATTGTGAGGGTACCTGTGGTAAAAAAAAAGAAGGCACAAAACAAGCAAATATTATGACTGCTTTACAATATTTGAATAGAGTATTTCAAAGTTATCATATATATTTTGTACTGACAGTTCCTACAGGGCCTACTGAATAATGCTAGGGATGTTCAGATACCAATTACCGTACTTGGTACAAGTAAAGTACATATACTTCTTCAGCTCCAAGACTAGAACTTTTTGTTTAGTGTCATGTGACAGTTTTTAAAAAACAATGCAGACTAATGATTTCAGGACAGTGGTGGAGCACCAGGGCCCTGTCCCAGCTGCAACTGCTGTGACCCTAGTAGTTCTCGTGAAAATGGCAAGTTCGGCACTGGTATCGGAACATCCCTAAATAATGCAATTTACAAAAGTGTATCAAACCATAACTGTTAAGTAGCATTTCATTATTATATCTGATATATTAGTGGTTGCTAGACATGTGCGATTCGTTTCGTTCCGAATCGAAATTCGGACGAATTTTCGGAAATTCGGACATTCGGATGTATCCGAATTCCGAATTACAGACATAACGAATGCAAACGAATCCGAATTTCCATTTCCGAAATTCGGTAGCGGTAGTCCGAACGTTCGTTTCGTTTCGTATTCGTTTCGTTCGTTGGAGCAAAGTGACATTAGAGAAGGAGAAAAATATTTTTTCCCCCTCAAATGTCACGAACGAACGAAACGAATAAGAAACGAATAAGAACACAAAACGAAACGAACGTTCGACCTACCGCTACCGAATTTCGTCCGAATCCGAATTCCGAATCCGAATTGACTTTCACACCCGAATACTGAAAAACGAAATAACACTGATCCGAATTTGAAACGAAACGAAACAAATTTTTTGGCAGCGCACATGTCTAGTGGTTGCACTGCTTTTAGCCAGAATCTGTACAAATGTTTGTAACTACACACATGAAAAATGCAATCCCCCAATCTCATATAAAGTTTCTAGCATTATATATTTTTGTCAGAGTAGCACCATACCATATTCATGTCAATGCCATTGGTGTAGGTCCAAGCATGCTGGAAATACTCTTCAAGCCTCTGGCGTAAGGGGTTGGGAATCTGATGAAACCTTATAAACTCTTTCACTCGTAGCATTTGCATATGGTAACGTGCAGTTCCTGAATATAATCTTTGGATTATTGCAGATACATTTCCAAAAATACTTGCATACATTAATGCTGGATTGAAAGGAAACAGAAAAAATGACACAGTGAGAAATTACATCAACACACAAAAAAATGCAAATGTATGATAAAAATAACACTCACCAACCTGTAAAACAGTTTTTGTAAGGAATAATTGAAAAGTTTTGTTAGATTTTTTCTTAAAATATTCATGGAAACCACATATTTATTTATAAACTGTATATATTTTTCATTATATAAATGCTATATATTTAGATTCTGTAACTTAGATATTTTACATTTTATACTTAGAATTTATCAGAACTGTTAATGATGGCATAATTGAAAAGGTTTCAGCCCTGGGTATGTGCAAGCTGGCCTCAAGGCACACCACAGCCCAATCTGCTAAGCATGCAGCTGATTTTAAAATTGTTTGCAATAATTCAAGCTTCTGGGCATCCAGCAGTGAGAGAAGAATATGCAAAATAAATAATATTAAGTGTAATTTAGTATTTAAAAAAAAAAGATGAAAAAGAAAAATACTATCACTATAACTATATATGTTACATGTAGCTTCCCATACAATGTGTATCAGCAAATAGGCAAAAAAGTAAATAGGTCGTACAGCCAGAATATAAAGCAATTAACTCCACCTACCAGCAGTATAGATTGTGTAGCCAAGATAAATTTGATGCCACTCACCAGCAGTATAGCATTGATGGCCAAATTGAGTTGCATTGCCCAGACAGCTAGGTGGTAAGCTTGTGGACCAGAATAGAAGCAGTAAAGCACTATCTGGTCCACCAGCTGAATGGAGAGAGTAAAATGGCTGCAGTTCCAGAAGTTTCAGGATTTGTGAAAGCAGTTATTCAGGTGAGCCACATTTTTCAACATTACATGGGAATTAAACTTTATTTGACCAAATTTTTTTCCCTGGACCTCAGTTTTAAACATAGTTACATAGCAGGTAAGGTTGAATAAAGACACAGGTCCATCCAGTTCAATCTATGTGTGTTAGTGTTTGTTTATGTGTGTGTGTTTCTCTGCAATTAATAGGCTTTTATTGCTCCCCATATCCTTCAAAATTTTGCGAACTAAGAAACTCGTCTAGAAGTTTCTTGAATTTATCAATGCTATCAGTAGATACTACTGACTGTGGAAGAGAATTCCAAATTTGTACTACTCTCACAGTAAAAAAAGCCTTACGCAGTCTAAGATTAAACCTCTTGTATCCACGTGTCATTAATAGAATTCTTGGTGTAAACATTTGTTTCCCAATACTGCGGTCCCCATTTATGATTTTGAAAACTGCAATTAGGTCTCCTCTTAAATGCCTCTTTTCTGAAGAGAATAAGTTTAATTTCTGGAGGCAATCTATATAATTCAGGCCTTCCATCCACTTTATTAATTTCATAGCCCTTCTTTGAACTCGCTCGATTTCGTGGACATCTTGAGGATTGGTGACCAAAACTGAACCGCAAACTCAAGGTGTGGCCGAACTAGTGATTTATAAATGCAAGATAATGCAAGATAGTATCCTGTTTGCTTTACCGCTGCTTGGCATTGCATACTATTGCTGAATCTATTATCTATAAAGACTCCTAGGTCTTTCTCCATGTCCGCCTTCCCCAGTGCAGCACCCCCTAGGTAGTAGTTTGCATGCAGGTTCTTTGCTCCCATGTGCATAACCTTGCATGTTTCTATATTGCATCCAATCTGTCCATCTTATAGCCCAGGTCTCAATTTTATCCAGGTTCTGTTAGAGTGAATGTATGTCTTGTTGAGAATTTACTGCCCTATACAGTTTAGTATCTTCCACAAAGACTGAGTCTGAACAATTTATTCCAATCTCTATATCGTTTATGAATAAAATAAAATTGATTGGTCCCAAGACTGATCCCTGGGGCACCCCACTCACAACTTTCAGAAAAAGAACCATTTATTACTACTCTCGCTCCGATCGCTCAGCCAGTTATCCACCCATGTACATACAATCTAATCCAAACCTCAGTTTGTGGATTAAACGTTTGTGCGGTACTGTATCAAATGCTTCAGCATAGTGAAGATACACCACGTCTACTGGTATTCCTCTGTCTAAATTAGTGCAAACTTCCTCTTAGAATGTCATTAGATTGGTTTGACAAGAACGGTCTTTCATGAATCCATGATGGTTGCTACTGATTCCATTTTCATATACAAATTCCTGCATATAATCTCTAATTATGTCTTCCGGTACTTTACTATCGATGTTATATATATTGGGACCACATTTGCTTTCCGCCAATCAGCTGGTACCATACCTGAGATTAAAGTGTCCCTATTGATTAAGAACAATGGTTTGGTTATGACATGGCTCAGCTCTTTGTGTACTCCTGGGTGTAACCCATCTGGTCCTGGAGATTTGTTTACATTTATTCTTTCTGGGAGATAATGGTTAACAAATAATGATGATATAGTGCAAAAGTCTGAAATGCGTGTCAGTGATTACAGAGATTTTCCAGTACAGAAAATCTCTGTGACTGAGAAGCAGTAGTTCTTTTGTCCTAGCAGGAAAAACAAATCATTTACTGTGTGCGTGCTTCAAACAAGGGTCACTCAAGTTATTAAGAAAAGTCTAACCAGGTCCACAGTTTGGACAAGGACAATAAGATTTATCAGCACCTGTTGCAAAATTAACCTAACAAATTAAAGGTAACAATATGTGACACAGCCTTTCCACAAACCTTATATAAGAATAACAAAAGATGGAACAATGATCCTTACCGCATTTAAAGAAGATGAAGATTGCATAATTTACATTCAGCACCAGCCAGTATACAGAAAACCATAATGATTCAGAGGAGCAGGGTAGATGCCCCAAAATGCTGTCACTTATGTGTTTTTTAATAGCCGCCTTCCAAATGTGAATATCACAGTTTTAATTTAGAATGGCATAAAATTCTATAAGCTAGATCTATGTAATTGGCTTTGCCAGTATTCTTTTTTCTATTGCCTTTATTTCTTAATCAATATATACTTCATTAACACAAGCAGTTATTGAACGAGTTTCATTCCTTGTAAAACAAAAATGCACAGTATATTGACAGTATTGGAGACAGAAGTTAATCTGATTACTAGGTCGAGGAGTCATAGTTTCTCATGAAAAGAATCCTAATTTTGTCCAGGATGTATATTGTGGAAATACAAGGAATTCGGTCTCAGTCTCTTCTCCCTTTTTCAGTTACTCAGGGGGACAAAGCTTTTAAGCTAGCTTAAATGAGGATTCTTGGTGAGGAATGTGTTATTACTGGCCATTAGTTGCCTTTTGGTGACCACCCAAAAATACAATATTGGGTTGCTTACTTTTGTCATTATACTTAACACTTAACCTACCCAAACAACCCAAAATCTAAATTAAACCAATCCTTAATCTAACCCTTGATCCTAAATTAAAACCTTAATATAACCCTAGGCATCAGTGTAATGCATAATCACTTTACTGATGATCATTTTATCAATTTTATCACTGCTGATAACTGTGATGATCCAAAAAATGGCAAAGCCTGGTTTCCAAGGTACACAAATGACCTCTATTTTTAAAGACAACAGTTAACTCTTTCATATAGACTGTTCCAAAAAAATATTTTTTCCAAAATGTTTTAAAACATTTCAAAATGTTGCGCTATTCTCTTTTCTTCATACAGGTGGACCCTCACATTTTCTCTTTGCCAAATGGTAACGTATGCTAAATGAAACCTTTCACCACAGAAATATAGAAGCTGACTCCGCTGACCAGGTTTAGAAGGTGCAATATTCCTGGCCATCATCTTTACCCTTTTATCACTACTTGGTGAGGAGTTGGGACACCTGCTAAACACATGACTGCCCCCATATCACTGGCTCACTAAGTAGTCAAGCAAGTATAAAGACAACCCTGGACCCTAAAAAAACAATGTGCTGTACAAGGAAGCTCTGGATGATAAGACTTGTCCTAATATTGTCCCACTCAGGCAATGATTCACATTTTACAGAAATCTCTCTTTAATACAAAAAAAAGACAGAAAACAACTCACATTGTCAACAAATAAAACACATGCTTCCTGCTTTGTATTCATGCCAAGTGTTTGAGACAGAACATGTAATATCTTGATATTTATACTAATTAAACCTGTTTCTAGATCATTAGCCATTGCAAGATACCTTCAGAGACTCAAAGACCTTATAAACCGGACAGAGCTAATTAGCTGCTGGTTTAAAGGTCTCACTGGGTAGAATTATAGATCACCCTTTTGCACTTAGGCTACAATTATCAAGGTTGGATATAATCACAGGTCCATAATGTTCCACAGTGGCAAAAGCAGACAAGCCTATTGGTTTCAACTTGATAGATTTAATGAGAGATGTGGGAGTTCTAGGTTTGTTTCATAACCTTCCATTCCAATTAATTCCCTGCCCAAGATGACATGGATGAAAATCAATTTTACATTTCTCTCTGGTATCGACTTGATTTTATCTACTCATTTGTGCCAACTGTCTAGTAGAAATGCCAATTTACCAGTTCAATCTTTTTGCAATCTTGTCTGACTAAATGGCAGACAACCAGAAGAAGTCAGATATTGCTATTTTATTCAGCATCTATCAGGCCTTCAGTGTTGCCACATTGAGAAGAGAGTTCTCACAATTTAAATTCCAACTCCAGTGATTTTTTGCTGTTGAAGGATTAAAATCTCAGTCTTGTTTTTATTGTTGTCTTTGTACCCATTGTAGAAGTCTAAGCTGACTAACTGCCACCTACTACCCAGAACAGAATATTAAAGGGGAAATCATCAACTTCAGGGGAAAAAACAAGAAAACACATATTTATAATGTAGTATTTGGAAGCATCAGAACCCCAGTCAGTTTTTATGTCTGGCTGTGTTCATACTCAACATATTTCCTCTCACTTCCTGTCCTGGTGACACTATGCATTTTGGTATATAAGCAAGTGGAGGGAAATCTCCCTGAATGGATCATAGCCATCAATGAAAACCTGAAAGAGTTTCTAACCCTTTCCAATTATGTCCAAAGATTAAAAATATGACTACAGTATAGATTGGTTTGGTTTGAAGGGAAATTTCAGTAGGTGATACAGAAGTCTAAAGAAATTAGCATTCTATGATACATACATAGTTAAAACTGAATTCAAGGTAGATACTAAATGCCAATCAAATACACCTGCGTACCTTTATATTAGCTTCCTCTGACTCCATATACAGCAGAAGTAAAACAAAGGATGAATAACATCAATGTCTACTATAGCTTTTCCCAGTACTGTCAATCTTACATTAGGAATTTGCAGATAGAAGTAGAGAGCAGGGTTATAACCCCTCTGGTGAAGCGTTGTTCCATCATTATCCAATCAGCAAGCTGGGGGTGGGTCAATGGTAAGGCTGTATTGCGCAACTGCAGTATTGCTGAACAGAATGATAACTTTTGGTAGGTAAAACAGCTCACACATACAATATGTATTTCAGTGGTGTATTTAAATGTTTGCCTGGATTTAAACAAATGCAGTTTAGGGCCTATTCACACCATATCCGGAACATGGCCAGAACGCACTGCATCGCATTACGGTCGGCTCAGTATTTTGTGGGGCTGGAGGGGGCGTGGCTGGCCATTGAAGTGAATGGTGCCGTAGCCACGCCCTCCGGCCGCAATGCGATCACCCGCACGCGATCGCAAGAAACAGTGTGCCTGCGGTCCAGTCATAATAGTGCTTGCAGCATTTTGACTGCACCAAACCGGACTGCAGGCACAAGTGCCCTGCGATCCCGTGCAGGCGATCGCATTGCGGCCGGAGGGCGTGGTTACGGCTCCATTCAATGGCCAGCCACGCCCCACGAAATACTGAGCCGGCCGCAATACGATGCAGTGCGTTCTGGCCGGAACACACTGCATATAGTGTGAACAGGCCCTATGGGAATATAAGAGCATATATACACCAGGAAACCCTTTTCTATAATTATCTGTAATGTTAATCCATCAACTTCTATAAACTGTTCTGCATATGTAACAGTAACTGATAGATCAGTAACTCTTATTTATTATGTTTTTCTTTATCTTATCTTTTTTTGGCAATCTTTATGTGAAGTAAAATGTCCTGAGTGGACACACAGTACTTCACTGTATTGCCTTGCACTGCGCTGAAAAAAGTAAAGCATGTTCTACTTTTTTTTCAGCACACTGCAAGGCAACACAGCAGTGTGAGCTTGCCCTATTTAGAGCCCTTGCATTAGCATCTGTTAAAAAATGGATGCTAACATAATGGAACCAGTGTGAATGGGGCCTAACTCTGTTTCCCCCACTTTGGGGGACTTCAACTCTTGATGCAATCTCCATAATGTAAAAACAATTAAAAACCTAATAGGTAAAGTGAAACTCTTTCATAATGGATGCTTGCTAGAGAGCTTGCCAATAATTTAGCAGGAAATAACAAGAATATGCAAAACAATGTTAAAGTGTATTTCCACTACTGTAGCCAAAACTGGCATAGCACCTACTTTATATTTGTTACATGTTCTCATTTTTACAAAGCATAACTAAAAAACATATTTTAAATGGCTGCTTGCCTTTTTTGCTTGCTTAAAAATAGCGTTCCCCTTTTATGTAATGTTAAATGTTGGGGTGTTATGGTTAGCATAATTAACCCAATCTGCGCTGCCTTGGGGGATCTTCGTTATCAGATCTAAACTGTAGCTCGCGGTATACTGAGACGCCGCAGTATACCGCGAGCTGCTGAAGCGGATCCCGACAATTATGTCTGGATCCGCCCAGCTGCGAGACTGACAGCTGGCTCTGACTATCTAGAGGCAGAGCCAGCTGTACCCGCCCCCTACCCCGTCCGTTCCGCCAGTCATCGCTGGCGGATCGGAGCGGGGAGGGGGGAATCCAGCCCCTCCCCTGTCACGGCAGAGAGCCGTGACTGGATCGAGAGGTGAGCGAACACCGGTATGTGTTCGCTCACCTCCCAATCTACTGAGCCGACCTGTGACAGTCTCATTGTCACAGGTCGGCTAGAACTATGAGGTGAGTGAAAAGCACTCACCGCACAGTTCTCCTTTAATATGATGTTTTAAAAAAAATTAATTTGCTAGACTATACTCATATCAAATTATTGGCATGTCCGTCTACAGCCAAGTGTACATGCAATTGATGGCTACTATTTCCAGCATAGGAGTACCAAACTTATCCAGCTAGGTAATGTTTATCCATCTAGGATGTAGTCAGTCGAATGAGCAGCAGTGGGTCAGTCCTTGACAGAGCATCTTTCTGGTGGCTCCACATATTCTTTCTATTTTGTAATTAAGGGTGCTCTTGAGGCTCCACCTGTTTGATTAGGAATCTTGCTCTCTTGCTCCATGCCTGCACCCCATCTTCTGAACCCAGGTTCATGCACCAGCATTCTATTTATACCCCCTGACACCCTGTGCACCTAAAGCAGTATGGCAAAACATACCGACACTTCAACACTGTTGCATATGTCCTAAATGGTCTGAATTCCCTGTGAAGCGTGACCTATTATATTATTTTGTGTGGTAAGGGTAACTCACTGGTTTTAGGCAGACCTTTGCTGCTGACCTTACTTGTCCTGACCTTCCTTGAACTCCTTAGCTACGTGGTTGCACCTCTTTCCAGTTACAATGCTCAGCGCATCAGAAAGCCAATATGCCCAAACTACACTTCTATCATCATCCTATTGGCACTGTCTCAGCTTCCTTTGACCCCTGCTAGTTCACCCATAACTCTGGCATGGATACCTTGTCTCTTTCAGTCCCTGGCTAGCTAATTCACCTAATATCTACAGGCTGCCACTGAGGGACACCTTGTTTAGGCTCTATAATTCACTGCATGATGGCACCCAAGTACCAGTTCAGACATATAAAACATTCTATAAAAAGGGTGGAACTAAATTTAAGGACTGGTGTATTAGTCGTAATAAAGCCTGAACTACAATTAGTAGCTTACATTTAGTGAGAAGAGGTCTCTCATTATATTTATGTATGTGAGAAGTGAAAGGAGAGAGATACAGGGGTTTCATTATATAAAAATTGACTTTAGCTCTTAATGTAGATTCTACTTACAGCCAATCAACATTACACAAATGGAGAAGATTTTTTCCGAGTTGGTATTGGGAGACACATTTCCAAAGCCCACACTTGTCAGACTGCTGAAGGTAAAATAAAGTGCTGTGACATATTTGTCTTTGATAGATGGTCCCGAGCTGGGGTCGCTGTAATTATACGGTTTCTTTATTTGATCACCCAGGGCATCCAGCCAGCTAATTTTGTGAATTAGGTAAGGTCGTTCCACATTGCCGATTGCATACCAGATGCAAGCAAGCCAGTGAGCAATTAATGCAAAAATACACATTAGCAGCATGAGGACAGCAGCACCGTATTCTGAGTATCTGTCCAGCTTCCTGGCTACTCTGACCAAGCGAAGTAGCCGCGCAGTCTTCAAGAGCCCGATGAGAGTAGTAGTCTGGGGATAAAAATCAAAGAAAAAATATTATTAAACTGTAAACATAGTAAGGTTGAATAAAGATCAAGGCCTATCAGGTTAAAGCGAACATCAAGGCCAGATTTCTGCATAGTCAACATAAATCATGGCCTAAGACAGCAGGACTACCAGGTTCAGCACACAGCCACCAACACATCATTTTCTAATTGGAAGTAATACTTTCCCATGTACAATGGAATAATGTTTAACAGTTCTGTGCAGACTTACACATTATCAGAGAACTCCCCCTGCAGATGGCAGTTTAATTCCACTTTAAGGTATGTTTCTGAGTCCTTACGATTTATTTATTTTTCTACCCATAAATATTTCATAGGGCACTTCCAGTGGTGTTGCGGTAAAACATTCCTGTATCACTTATCACTAAGGTTAGGCCGGCAATTGTTAGTGGTGCAATTATAAATGTAATGATAGTGTAATTATAGCTGTGATTAAAAGCGATTTTTACAAAGCAACCTTTAAATATGCAAAAGGTCAAGGGTTATGCATCCTAATTCCTGTAGCAGGAAATATAGCGTGATGCCGTCATTTATAATTTGGGCCCAAAGCCTTTGGCCGTAATACAAAAAAAAGTGTATGCAAACTTTATTTTATGGAAATGATTGTACAAGAGGTCTGAAAAAAAAGTAATTTTAACTGTATTTAAAACCAGAATTTATTTTTATTTTTTTGATAGATTAGGAAACAGTTAAAAGTCTTTTTATTTTATTTTTGCTTCCTGTCAGAAAAATTTCCATTCACTTCCTGTACCAGAGACACAGCAGGATTTAAAGTGACACTAAACTCAGGAGTTAAATCTTAAAAAAGCATTCAAGTACCTTAACTATTAACAGAAATGTATCTTATTTGTGTATCACTCGGCTGTAGATCCTCAAATCATCTCTAAATTGGTGCCGGCACTGTCCTACCTTCTGGAGGGTGTCTACTTTTGTTCCCTATGGTACCTGTGTGTGCTGCAAAGTAGCCATCGCTCCAAGCTTGCTCCCGTGATGGACTAAAATCTCAATACAAATTAGTAAACTAAACGTGAGATTGTAGTCCATCACGGTAACACGCTTAGTGGGGAACAAAAGTAGCCCCCCTCCAGAAGGAAGGACAATGTCAGCACCAATTCAGAGAAGATTTGAGGATCTACAGTCGAGTGATGCACAAACAAGCTATGTTTTTGGTATTAGTTAGGGTACTTGGATGGACTTTTGAGATTTAACTCCTGAGTTTAGATTTCTCCAATCTAGGACAGTTGTTACCAGAACAGGTTTCCCCACTGGAAGATGTCCCCTCATTTCTGTGGCAACTTAATAGTTTTGGATTTTCCATGACTTTCTGTACAATGATCACTGGGACCATCTAGAAGCATCTGTTTGTAGATTGCCATTACTAAACATTTCTAAAAGTGCGTTTGTTGTTATTTTGAAGATATAGGTAAAGTTCCTCTTTAATGTCTATGGCCTGCTCATGAAGGCTCAGCATCACAAGTGGACATTACTTCCTATTTCAGAGAGTTATGTACAGCACCCTGCCAGCCTATTCAACCAGCCATGATCTGCCTGCATTTCCTACAGAAGCACAGAGACCCACTGATGAGATCACTAGATCTAATAGTTATGTATTGAGAAAAGAAAGGTTGTATTTAATATTTTAATTAGCATGTTGATTAAGGGGGAAGGAGGAACTCAGGGAAAAAAAAGATCCTCTTCCCATCCCTCCCTCCTACCCCCATGTGCTCTACTTTTCAGGGTTTTTATTTTTCCATATTTTATGAAACAAGTTATACCTACCTATGACCCCCCTCTAGTTCCCTTGCCGGTGCCGTTTCTGGGTGCACAGGACTGCTAATCCAGAGCTGCAAATAAGCCCTTGCTGGTTGGTCCCCCACTACCCCTTGTGATGACATCATTCCTCTCCTGGATCCTGAAAGAACCCCACCACTGGACAGCCAATAGGAAGTGTCCATATTATGCAGGCAGTGATGAGGACACCTGAAGAAGGACTCCTCCAGATAAAAACACAGGAAGAGAGGAGATTAGGTACAGGAAGGTCAAGTTAAATTGGCATTTAGGTAGGGTTTTTATTTATTCATTTTTACAATCAGTTATATGGGGGGGGGGGGGGTGTTATTCTAGATATGTGCCTTCATTTCCACTGTAACTTAGCCTTCTGTATTTTGTAATAGGAGAGATCCGACTGTAGCTCCTGCTAGAAATGGACTTGGTATGTAGTTACAGAAGGGCTAAAACTTATTCTTTTGCTGTGGGCAAGGTACCAAAGTTATTTCATGCTTGGAATATTGTTTATGTATTCTTGTTACTAGAAGTATAACAAAAAGATGGTTGCAGCCAGTTTGAAACACCTTCTATGTGGACTTTTACTGTCTACCAAAAAAATCCAAACTGTCGACAATAGGAAGGCTGCTGTGATTACAAAACAATCTTAAAACTCTACATATACATAATTTATACTAAGATCAATTTCAAATTCAATTATTAAAAAACATAAAATATAAAATATAAAAATAAGAAAAAAACGCTGCAATAAATGAAAAAAATTGTACA